CTGGACCATCCCAAGGTTCCATTAATGCAGCATGGTAATCATAAAACCCACGTCGCTCTTGGGTAAGGCGATGGTCTTGTTCCCAGGCTTCTGGAATCATCATCATCATGGCGTGGGGCAAGCTACGCCCACCCATATGGAGTAATTCTAAAACGTTATCGAAACAAGCAGAATCACTAGCACCAGCACGAACAACAGGATGTAAATGACGAACATCTTCACCAAAATGCGGGCTGGACAACAGAGCTTCGCGTGCTGCCATCCAATTTACGTTACCTTGCAGGGTATTGATTTCTCCATTGTGACATAGATAACGAAACGGCTGAGCGAGTTCCCATTCAGGAAAGGTATTCGTACTAAAACGTTGATGCACCAAAGCAATAGCCGAACTCATACGCGAATCTATTAAATCTGGAAAATAAGGATGAACTTGATCTGCAAGTAGTAGACCTTTATAAATGACGGTATTAGCACTAAAGCTAACAAAGTAAACGTCTTCCGGAATATCCAAACTTGCGCTACGTAGATCATGTTCCATCTGTTTACGAACAAGAAACAGCTCTCGCTCAAAATGATCACGATTTGTATAGCGAGAAGATTTTTTGATGAAAAACTGTTTAGTTACAGGCTCTTTTTGCCGCGCTAGTTCACCAATAGCTGTACTATCTACAGGTACTGTACGCCAGCCTAAAAATTCATGGCCACGTGCTACGGTCACTTTTTCTATAATGGTCTGTGCCTCACGCTGTACACCGTCATCTGAACGTAAAAACAGTACACCAACACCGTATTCACCTTCAGGGGGTAGTTCGATGCCTTCTGCTTTAGTTACCCCACGCATAAATGCATCTGGCATTTGCATAAGGATACCAGCACCATCACCAGTTTTGCCGTCTGAACCGGCTGCACCACGATGAGTTAAGTTAATTAAAATCTCAACAGCTTGATCAACAAGCTCATGAGATTTTGTATTATTCAGATTGGCAATCATACCAATACCACAGGCATCAACTTCAAACTGTGGTTCATAGAGCGCAGCTTGGCGCCCTCGCAACGATAATTGGTTTTCTCGTCGGTACTCAGGATCAAAAATATAGCGTCCGGCGCGGATAGTGAACCTCCTCTAAATATTCAATCTCATTAAAATTTTTGGCAGGTTCAGCACATAATAAAGATTGTTCGAACGGCGACTTGAACGTACCGTCGGCTGAACGCCTGATATCACCACAAATTTTGGAGAGCTATATATTATAACTGATGCTCAAAAATTTGTTTAGTTAGGTAACAGTCTGTACATTACACTAGCATACCTTAACCGACAAATTTTAAGATCTTGTTAAAATAATATTAGTATTTGAAATTGCCCTCATCCAGTAGGTTAATGATGATGTCGGCTGAAGACTTAACTATACAACAAATTGGTATCCTTGTAATTGCGCACGGTAGTCTATCGGAAGGCTTAATTGAAGCCGCTGAAGAAATTTTGGGGCCTCAGCAAGGATTAGCAGCTCTGAGAATTAATCCAACAGCCACCAATCCTAAATCAGCAGTAGAAACCGCGATCAACACCTTAGAAAATGGCTGTGGGGTTTTAGCTTTAACAGATCTTTTTGGTGGTACACCTTCTAATGTTACCTTAGCTTCTTGTAGAGACCATCAACTTGAAGTCGTTACAGGTGTAAATTTACCAATGCTTCTAAGAGCCTTAACCAAACGCAACAGCCATCATTTACAAGATTTAGCTAATATCGTTGCTGAATATGGTAAACAACAAATTCTAACGCCTAACGAACTATTACCGAAAACATCTTCATGAGTTTATGCCTAACACGTATTGATGATCGTTTAATTCACGGCCAAGTTATTCATGGCTGGTTACCAAAACTACAGATAGATTGGATCATCGTTGCTGACGCCGAGTTCTGTAACTGTCAAGAACAGCAGATGATTGCTCGTCTGGCTGTACCCAAGCCTGTACAAATTTCTTTTATTGAACCTAAATATGTTTACTCAGAACTACAAGAAACAAACAAAAAAAACTGTGTTGTTTTGTTCCGCACACCAATACAAGCGCTAGAGGCTATCTTAGCTGGCTTTTTACCCAGTGCTTTGAACCTTGGCAATCTACACTTCGAACCAGGTAAAACTCAACTTCGTAAAACGTTTTGCTGTTCTAACTTAGAGCTAGATGCTTTAAAAGATATTGCTGCTAAAGGTATTGAAATTGACTACCAACCTGCACCGGATTTAAAACGTGTTACGTTAGATATGGCATCGTTCTAGGTTAAAATTTTTTTACTTCAACAACAAAAACCGTGCTAATAGAACTTATTCTTTTTTCTAGCTTTGCATCACTGCTGCTTCTAACACAACATGAGATTGGCCCGTTCTTATTACACCGACCTATTGTCCTAGGTCCACTGTTAGGCGGACTCTGTGGATTTGCTGAAGCAGGCTTCTTTCTTGGAGCTACTTTAGAATGGGTCTGGCTTGACCGTATTCCTGCTGGAGGTATTCGTACGCCTGCCGCTAGCGTGGGCATCGCTGCAGCTATCACAACATTATTGTTTCTTTCGCACCAAGTACCTCAACCTTTTCCTGTTCTACAATATCTACCGTATGGCCTTATTATTACTTTGGTCTATACCGCTTTATATGTACCCTTAGACGGTGGGCTACGTCGTTTATGTAGTATTGCTAGCGAAAATGTCATTCTAGCTTTAAAACGTGGATCTACTCGTGAATTACGTGCTTATGCACCTGTTATGCTGATGCTTCGTTTCATTGTGGTTACCTTAGCACTTCTAGCAGCAGCAGCCTTAACAGCTTTGTTAGGAGACTGGCTTTATGATCCTACAGGACCTCTAACATCTATCGCCTGGCCCTGGATCATTCCTACCGCTCTTGCTGCATTTCTACTTCGACGTAAGCAATGGTCAGAAATCATCATCACTGCTGTTATGTTTGCCATTGGTATGGGGGTTACATGGTATCGCTAGTCGACCGTTTCCATATGTATGGTCGGTTGCTTGTTTTACAAGCTGTTTGGAGCTACAGACGGATGCAAACCTGTGGCTGGCTATGGATTGCTGAACCTATTGCACGGCGTTTAAAACCTGAAAGACCAGCGGAGATCTTAAACCAAAGTGTTGTCCAATTTAACACTCATGCTCTGTTAGCACCGCTACTCTTAGGTGCTGCTATACGTACACTAATAAATAACCCAAACCAGATTGAACCTGCTAAACAACATCTCACACGTTGGATGAGTGTCTGTGGTGCTCTCGGCGATCTTATCTATTGGCAGACATTATTGTGGAATTTTGTCTGGTTAAGTAGTACGGTATTTCTCTTTTGGAACAGTAGCGGCTTAATTATCTTTATTGTTCTTTGGACACTCCTAGAAATAGGCTTACGAATCATCCTATTTGAACTGGGTTTTCAGCGACCAGATAACATTACAACCTGGATTAAGTGGCTTAGTTCACCAACATGGCGACAGTTATTTACTCGTATTTCAATACCAGCTATGGGCTTTATTGCTGGCATGACCTTTATGCAAGCCCAAGAACAAGCAATACATCCTTTCAGTAGTGATTTAATTAGTGTCTGTATCGCAATTGGAGCTATTTTTTTAGCTGTACGAACACGTTTCCACAGTATGGTTATATGGCTACCTCTCATTTTCTGCCTTATACCAGCTCTGCTAAAATAGAAATTATTATGGCAACTATAGATGTAAAAATTATAAATGAGCTTGGTCTACATGCACGTCCAGCATCCAAATTATCGCAGTTGGCAACGCAATACCAAGCTGAAATAACTGTAACCAAAGATACGATTACTGCAAATGCAAAATCTATTTTAGGGTTATTAACCCTAGCCTGCCCCAAAGACACAATCTTAACGATTGAAGCCAATGGTAATGATGCTGATGACGCTCTTGGTGCTATTGCCGCTCTTTTTGCCGAAGGGTTTGGGGAACTATAGCTGTTTTGTATCTTCGATAACCTGTTTAGGTTAAGACTTAAGATTTAAAACACTAGGCGATTCTTTCTTATAATCGAAAAAAATAGATTTTTATTCGTTAATTACGGTTACCTAGTTAAGATGCGATATACGTTAATCACATTTTTATTACTATTTTCAATCTTAATAAACCCTATATCTGCAAAAAATACACTAACAGGTAATATCTCTGTCGACGTTAATGGTGTGATTTCTGACATTGGTACTATTAATCTGGCTTTATTTCAAAACGCCAAGGGATTTCCAAGCGATAGTTCATATGCTATAAAAAAACAAACTGTACCTATTAAAAATGGTCAGGCTACCGCCCACTTTAGACTAGTTGCCTATGGTAGATATGCTATATCTGTCTTTCATGATACAAATAACAATCATCAACTTGACACGAATTTTATTGGTATTCCTAAAGAAGGTGTTGGTACATCTAACAACATAAGACCACGGTTTGGACCGCCTAAATGGAAACAGTCTGCTTTCGGTTTCTCGTCACCAACAACTACGATTCGAATTCAGCTTGTATTTAAGATTGTATTGCTTGTTGGCCAGCGGCCATAGCAATTAGGTTATGAATGTCGGTTGGCCCCATCCCTGCAGATAGCATCACCACAGTACGATTAAAGCCACGATGAACAGGGCCAAGCATTTCGGCACCACCTATCTTGGTTAACAGTTGTGTTGCCATTTGGGCAGCAGCTAAGTTGGGAAAGATCAAAACATTGGCATTGGTTTCTAATTTAGAAAACGGAAAAACAGACTCTCTAAGTGTCTGATCTAAAGCAACATCAACGGTCATTTCTCCATCAAAGATAAAATCAACTCCTTCGGCCTCTAACTGCTCTACGGCACGACGAACTTTGTCTACTTGGGGATGATCGTAGGCGCCAAAGTTGGCAAAACTTAAAAAAGCAACTCGAGGGGTCATATCAAAAAGTGGCGCCGGCTCAACAGCAAATTTAGCAATGTTGACGAGTTCTTCTGCAGTTGGGTCAACACTAACAGCCGTATCGGCAAACAAAAACAGACGACTTTTGTAGACGACTGCTGTTACTGCTGCTGGCCGCTGTACTCCTGCTCGGAGACCAATAATATCTTCAGCTATCCGTAAGCTTTCACTGTAACGGTCTGTATAGCCTGCAACATAAATGTCAGCTTCACCCTGAGATACCAACATGGCACCAAAGTGACTACGCCTACTTAGTTGCTTTGTGGCACGATCTTTTGTGATACCTTGGCGCTGTTTACGTTGCCAGTAATGGTCAATAAATGTTTGAAATCGACCATCTTCGTCTGGATGAATAATTTCTAAGCCTTTGATTTTTAGATCTAGTTTTTTTATGTTTTGTTCAATTCTCGCTTTGTTACCCAGCAGAATAGGACGAATAAATCCCTCTTGGACCGCCTGCTCAACAGCAATTAATACATTGGTTTCACCACCATCGGCAAAAACAACACGTGGCATCGTCTCTCGACGGCGAGAGCGATTAATACTCGTACGAATCAACTCTCTAGCAGGTCCCAGCATGCCTTCTAGACGTGTACGATATTGATCAAAATCGGTAATCGTCTGTCTAGCCACACCGGAATCGATAGCAGCTTTTGCAACTGCAGGGGCCACCCATAATAAGACACGATGATCAAAGGGCTTAGGGATAATATAGTCACGACCAAAAGAAATCGATTTACCACCATAAGCACGAACAACATTTTCGGGAACTGTCTGTTTCGCTAAGTTGGCCAAGGCATGGGCTGCGGCTAGCTTCATTTCCGTATTTATACGACGTGCCCGAACATCGAGAGCGCCCCGAAAAATAAAGGGGAAGCCTAAAACGTTATTCACTTGGTTGGGAAAATCACTACGACCGGTAGCCATAATAATATCATCACGCACAGCTTTAGCGTCTGGATAAGGAATTTCTGGATCAGGGTTAGCCATGGCAAAAACAATAGGATTTGAAGCCATTGCTTGAATCATATCTTTGGTAACAGTACCACCAATAGAAACACCAACAAAAATATCCGCATCTTGAAACGCATCAACAAATTTCATATTATCGCCACTACGAGCAAATTCTTGTTTATGACGATTGAGGTCACTACGATCTGTATGGATTAACCCTCTTGAGTCGTACATCCAGACAGCTTCTTTTGGTAAACCAAGCTCCATAAAAAGCTTCACACAGGCAACAGAAGCTGCACCGGCACCACTAACAACCATCTTATTGATAGCTGTAATATCTTTACCTGCAATCTCTAGAGCATTAATCAGTGCTGCTGCAGAAATAATGGCCGTACCATGCTGATCGTCATGGAAAACAGGGATATCTAAACGCTCGATGAGCGCATCTTCTATATCAAAACATTCAGGTGCTTTGATATCTTCTAGGTTAATACCACCAAATGTTGGTTCTAAGGCGGCAATAATCTCAATAAGACGCTGAGGATCCTTTTCTTTAACTTCAATATCAAATACATCAACGTCAGCAAAACGTTTAAACAGGACAGCTTTACCTTCCATAACAGGTTTACTGGCAAGTGGACCAATATCGCCTAAACCAAGTACTGCTGTACCGTTACTGATAACTGCTACCAAGTTACCACGCGCAGTATAATCAAAGGCTTTATCAACTTCTTTCTCAATGTCTAGACAGACGTCTGCAACACCTGGTGTATAGGCTAAGCTTAAGTCCCGCTGGGTGGTACAGGGTTTGGTTGCAACGACTTCAATTTTGCCTGGACGCCCTTCGGCATGATAGCTTTGTGCTGCTTCTAATGTATTTTTTTTAGAACTCATAGATAGATCACTTAAGGTAGGTTTCAGGATCAGCTATTGTACAGGATGATTATAGATTCGTCAGACTATCTTTTAGATTTGTGGCTCGATAAATAAGACATGTTCAACATAGTCACAAATAAGATGTTCTAACAAAAGATGTACTTCTTGTATACGAGCAGTGTCGTCATGAGGTGTAATATACATAATATCTGCTTGTGATTTCGCCTCTCCCCCTGTGCGTCCAAGTAGCGCAACTGTTTTACAGCCTATTGCCTGTGCTGCTTTAAGGCCTTGTACAATGTTATCGGAGGTACCACTTGTACTAATTCCCATCACAATGTCCCCAGGATCTGCTAGCGCACGTACCTGCTTTGCGAATACATCTCGATACTCATAATCGTTAGCAATGCTGGTCAACGTACTAGAATCTGTTGTTAGGGCAATCGCAGGCAGTGGTGGCCGCTCAAGACGATAGCGGTTGATAAACTCTGCTGCCATATGCTGCGCGTCTGCAGCACTGCCACCATTACCAAAGATAAATAATTTACCGCCATCACGGAAAACAGCGGCAATCTCGCGACCAATCTCAACAGCAACTGTACATAATTCTGCTTCTGCAGCTTCAATGACCTGAAGATGGGTACGTAATTGTTCTTGTAACTTTTGCTTAACGTTCATAGATTAATAAAAAACTATTTACTTTTATATCATTATATGATTTTATAGATCTAAATACGAGAAGGGAATAGATGTTTTTACACTTATTACAAATCTATTATTTCTTTTACCTTTGCACGATTCAAATCGTTTCTGTTATCAAACTTAATGTAAAACCCTTGACAAAATTTATTGTCTTTAGCTTAGGAGTAACGATTTTATGTGCTTGTCAACCTAGCAAAAAAACCCAAACGGCACAGCAATCTAAACCTATCACTGCAGTAATAACAAAAAATGCCATGCGGTGTAATACAAAAAATGCATCTAAACCCGTCTGGGAAACACGCTGTTACGACGGTGGTGTCACACTAGATAACTATGACACGCCTAAAAGTATTCTAAAACGTCTAGAATCAACCATCGCTTGGGAGATTGTTCAGGATATTGCGGGTTTTCAAAAGCAGAACTATAGCGGGCAGCTCGTTAGTGGCGAGCAGCTTGCTGCACTAACGCTATTCCTCTATTTTGGTGGCCATTTAGGTTGGGCTCATGATGTTGCAGATTTAACTAATGATATTCGACAAACCGGCCCTGTTGTTCAAGGTAATGGCTTTGATACCCATCAACGTGTACGTGTTTTTTATTCTGACGCGGTTGTCGACTGGCTACGTCAGAATCGCCAAGGTGTAATTCCTAACGGTGCTATTATCGTTAAACAGATGTATCCTTCAGACCCTGCTGATAGCACCTATGGTGCAGACCGTGTGACAGGGTGGGCTGTGATGATTAAAAATGCCAAGATTTCTAAAGACGGCTGGATTTGGTATCTATTCTTTTTTCCCAAATCACCTCCTTACAACGCACCAATACCTACAGTGTCTGCAAAAAGTGGTGACTCATTTTGCTTAAGTTGTTATGTAGCGGTAGATAACGACCAAATGACGTTTGCCGCACTTATAAATTTACAAGGTGCTGCTCAAAAATATAGTTGGATTCAACAAGTCTCTCCGGGATTTTTTGCGTCACTGCCTACTAGCAATCAAACAACAGCAACGTCAATAACACCACAATTACAACAACTTATTGCTAGCGGTATTGCGCAGTTTCAACGTTTAGGTAACATCAGTAAAAGCGAATTACAACAATTACGGGACGAACCAACAGTAGATCAGCTTAAAACATTCAAGCAACGGCTAAAACAACTAAAATCCTTAACATCACCAGAGAAACAGGCTTATATCAAACAACTTGTTACTGACCGTCTTTCTGTTATACAGGATCAAATTGAGACTACACAGACACAGCAAGTTCCTTCTACGTTACCAGAACTCCTAGAAAAATTAATTGCTGATTTTGAGCAGGTACTTGTGAATCATAATCTCGGCGATTTTTTAAACCAAACAATAGAAACACTCAACCGATTTGCCTTAGAAAAACAGATTATACAACCTTTAGCAAAACCAAATGAGGCGATTTTAAACACCTTTGGCCCCAAAGCAAAAGCAACCTTCCCACAACAAACAACGGAGCTGGCTTGGTTCCCTCTCGATTATATGTTTTCCTATACACCGGCCTTACCAAAAAAACTACCTGCTGATATCTGCAAGCTACATAAACAAACAATATCTGGATCTTCTACGTTACAAAATATTACAGACTATATAAAAGCCATCTTTACAGATGGTATGGATTGCCGCGATACCTTCATTACTTCTGACAATTGTGATGGTTGCCATGCGAGCTATTTCTTACAAGGAAATTCTCTACCAAACATGCTGACCGTAGATAAAAGCGACCCCGTAACCAACCCCTTACAAGCCAAATTATGGGATATTACACCAACAGCAGAATGGAGCGCATCCATGATGGGGTTGGCAGGTAAAGATCCGATCTTCCACGCACAATTGGCTTGGGAAAAACAAAAACATCCACAACTTGGTAATCAAATTGCAAACCTTTGCTTACGCTGCCATCAACCAGCAGCACAGAGACAATTCCATTTAGATCACGGTGACCCTAATAATCCTGCGATTATTACACCACCAGGTACCCTCAATAATTCACCCTTATTTTCTGAAACGTTTGCTTATCTCGAACCTCAAAATACGATTAGTAGTACAACAAAATGGGGTGCTTTAGGACGTGACGGTATTACCTGTAGTGTCTGTCATCAAATTGAACCTGAAGGGTTGGGTCAACCTGAAACCTTTACAGGCCAATTTCATTTCCCAGAAAAACTAGACAAAATCTATGGTCCTTTTGCTGATAAAGACATAAAACCTTATCTCATGGAACAGGCTCTGGGTGTAACACCAGTTTATGGAGAACATATTACAAAGTCAGAGTTATGTGGTTCCTGTCATACGGTTATTACCCCAATTGTTAGCGACCATGTAGAGATTTTTGAACGCTCTAAGCAGCGTTATCGGACGACCTATGAACAGACAACATACCCTGAATGGCTCAATAGTATTTATGCTCGTGGGCAACAGCAATCCTGTCAAGATTGTCATATGCCATCTCGACTACCTGATGACCCAAAAGCAACAACTTCAACTGTTTTGACAGAAACCATCGCCAATGTCGAAACCGCTTATTTACCTCAGGTTGATAATCGTGCTGCGGACCATCTAATTACACCAACACCAAAACAAAATTACCGACGTCATACGTTAGTTGGTCTTAACTTATTTGCAAATCAAATGTTCCAGCAATTCCCAAGCATTCTTGGTCACGCAGATGCTGTTCATCAAACCCAACCACCACTGTTACTAACAGAAAAAGAAATGTTACGTTTGGGCCGAGAACAAACAGTAACGATATCTATTAAACAACAGAACAAAACACTAGATAACTATACGTTTGATGTTCTTATTGAAAATAAAGCTGGACATAAATTTCCTTCCGGTGTTGGTTTTCGACGCGCTTTCATTCGCTTTGAGGCTTTAGATAACAAAGGTAACGTGATATGGGCTTCTGGTCGTACCAATACGATTGGCCAACTTGTGGACAAAGAGTTCCAGGTTCTTGAAAGTGAAATGACTTTTGATCCAACAAAAATCCAAACAGGTGAACCTTTCATTTTTCGTGAAAATCAAGTTTATATTTTTGAAGAACGTACGGCAACTTGGCGGGACCTTGAACCAGAGGAGATTATTAAAACTGAAATCGATTTGAACAAAATGGTCCTAACAACCTCTTTCTTAGAAATTGTTACAGAAGTCAAAGATACACGACTACTGCCCAAAGGCTGGGATCCTAAAGGGCCTTATGCAGACGTAACGCGACTGGTAAAGGTGAACCCCCAAACAAAACACCCAGAGCCTTTTTATCCTAAGACACCAGGTCAACGTCTTGTACAGTATAGAATTCCTCGTGCTATTGGTAGCATTGCAACGGTACAAGCTTCGATTCATTACCAATCTATCCCACCTTACTATATTCGTGACCGTCTACAATATAATACGCCAGAAACACAACGTTTCTACTATATGGTGGCACATCTCAACACGAAAAATACGGCAATTGAAAATTGGTCTGTTCAACTTGTCAAATCAGAACTAAAGCTACAAGAACAATGATAATACTATGCTTTAAGTTCAGGTAGACTAAGTACTCATTTTAAATTCTTATCTTAATTTCTAGTAGATGGTCTATCAATATGCAACAAACAACATCAAAATCATACTTTAAAACAGCAGAATCTTATTTTATTGGTGGTGTAAACAGTCCAGTCAGAGCCTTTAGTGCCGTTGGTGGTAGTCCGTTATTTGCTGCTGCAGGTGTTGGTGCTTTTTTAATTGATGCTGACCAGAATCGTTACATTGATTATGTGTTAAGTTGGGGACCGCTGATTCTTGGCCATGCTCATCCTGAAGTTGTGGAAGAGGTACAACGTGTTATCGCCAAGGGGACAAGTTTTGGGATGCCAACAGCCGCAGAGAATCGTTTGGCAGAATCTATACGTTCTTTTTTTCCCGAATTAGAGCGACTTCGTTTGGTTAATTCTGGAACTGAAGCAACTATGAGTCTACTGCGTTTGGCGCGCGGATTTACAGGTCGTGAGAAGATCATCAAATTTATCGGTTGTTATCATGGTCACGCTGATAGCTTACTTGTTCAAGCTGGTAGCGGTTTGGCCACCTTAGGAACGCCTTCTAGTCCAGGTGTTCCTAAATCAACCGCTAAGGATACGATCTGTTTACCTTTTAATGATACTGAGGCTCTACGGCAGGCTTTTACAGATTTTAAAGGACAGCTGGCAGCGGTTATTATTGAGACGATTCCTTGTAATATGGGACTGATTTTCCCAGATCCAGATTTTCTTGAGACTCTACAAGAATTGTGTCAAAGTGACCACGTAGTGCTCATTGCAGATGAAGTTTTAACGGGATTGCGAACTTCGTGTGGGGGTGCTTACCACCGTTATAGCCTGAAGCCTGATTTGGTAGCTCTGGGTAAAGTAATCGGTGGTGGTTTTCCTTTGGCTGCCTATGGTGGTCGTCAGGATATTATGTCGCATTTATCTCCAGAAGGTAATGTTTACCAAGCAGGAACTTTATCTGGAAATCCAGTTGCAGCCACTGCTGGTGCTGTTAGTTTAGATATTCTTAAAGATGAGAATCCTTTCGCTAAGTTAGAAACTACATCACAAAGATTCGTACAAGAACTTAAACAATTAGCTGATCAATATGGTATTCCTCTCTCAACCGGTGCTGTTGGTAGTTTGTTTGGCTTCTGTTTTAGGGAAACGCCACCTCGTAATTTTTCTGATATTTCTCAAGCAGACCATCAAGCTTATAAACAGTTCTTCTGGGGTATGTTAAAACGTGGTGTTTATTTTGCACCTAGTGGCTATGAAGTTGGTTTCTTAAGTACACAACATACACCTGACCTAATTGATCAAACACTAGAGGCTATTGAAGATTACTTTAAAACAGAGATCAAAAGATGAATCGTATAACCTTTAAGCAAATAATTTTTCTTTTTATCTTGCTTATTGTTTCTGTCTCTAGTTTATCTGCTTCAGCTCAGCAAAAATTACATTTTGGTTCTCAACATGTTTTAAATCATTGTTGGGATCAGAATGCTTTATTAGGTAGTAAAAAAGATAAACATGTTATTCGACCTTTGACTTCCCCTAATTCTAATGGACCAACCCAAGAAAAATCTCTGCAGCCTCTATCTCCGATACAAAAACCACTTCAAGGATCGATTCGTTCTGTTGCGTTAGATCCTCAACAAAAACTTTTAGCACTCACGTTTGATTTATGTGAACGTTTACGAGAAAGAACAGGTTATGATGCTGATATTGTTAATTACTTAAGAGAAAATAACGTAAAAGCAACTTTTTTTGCTGGTGGTAAATGGATGCGCTCACATCCAGAAAAAACTATGCAATTGATGGCTGATCCTCTGTTTGAACTTGGTAATCATGCTTGGACTCATGGTAATCTTGGTGTCTTAAGAGGTAAAAAAATGATGCAGCAAATACACTGGCCTCAGCTGCAATACCAACAATTGCGAACAAAGTTAATCACAGATTGTACTCCTAAAGTTTCAGATACTACTGAATTTCAAAAAATACCTACCATACCTACTTTATTTCGCTTTCCTTATGGAACCTGTCATCAAGAAGCTTTACAGGCTTTAGCTGCATATGGTTTACCAGCTATACAATGGAATGTTGTAACAGCAGATCCTGCGAAAGACCAAACTGCTAAGGGTATTGCTAACATTGTTCTTGAGCAAAGAAAACCTGGTTCAATTATTATTGCTCATGCTAATGGGCGTGGTTATAAAACATCAGATGCACTACCTTTGTTTATCCCTCAGTTAAAAAAACAAGGCTACCAGTTTGTTACGGTAAGTGAGTTATTATCTTTTGGAAAAGCTATTACGGCTGACACCTGTTACGAGTTAAAACCTAACGATAATTTAAAATACAATACTTTATTTGGTGAAGGAACAGATTAAAAACACAGCGGCGATGTTTACAGAAAGCACCTATCATATTCCCAATGGTTCATTACATCTTATTCAACCATCTGAAGCTATAGAAATTGGTAATACTTTAGCTAACATGTCGCCTTGGTGTGAGCTTAGCTATCAGGCTAAAACACTTGAGCAGTACTTACAACGACCTGATCCAAACCTTTATCGTTTTGTTGCGACTATTGAACAGAATATTGCTGGTGTTATTAGTGTTCGTTATCCCTGGCTTAGAGGAGCATATATAGAGCTAATTGCTACTTATCCAAACTATCAAAAACAATCTATAGGTACTAGTATTATTTCTTGGATTGCATCAAATCTACAACATACTTCATATCGAAATATCTGGGTATTAGTCTCATCTTTTAATGATCAAGCTTTAGCTTTTTATCGTAAGTTACAGTTTGTTGAAATTGGTAAAATTGATGATTTTATTAAACCAACTTTTGATGAAATTTTATTACGCAAAATTCTCTAATATGATCAAAGTTCAACCCATTGCAGTTGATTTTCTTGTCTAGTATTAATTAATACTTGAGGTTTTCGCACAGCAGTTAAAAATAGTTGAAAAGGTTGATCGGCTAACAACTTGAATAACTTGACTTCATTTTGGTCATCAAGTTCTCCTTCAATATCGTCTAGATAAAAAAGATGTGTTTTGCTCTCTTTTGTTGTCACAGTAAGAGCACAGGCAGCAGATAAAAGAATAATCGCTAGTTTACGGTATCCTTGGCTACCACTATCCTTGATAGGTCGCTGATATCTTTCAATAAGAAGATCGTCTCGATGTGGCCCAAAACGTGTCCAACCACGCTGAATATCTTTAGGTCTATCTATAGCAAGCTGTTTTTGTATCTCAAGAACATCACCAGATCCGCCAGGAACATAACGCAAAAAGGCTGGTTCACAGTCCATACATTCCCATAACCTGGCATATTGTTTACAAAGGCGTAATACAGTATCTGTACGTAGATGATAAAGACGAGCACCTAAATTAGCTAACTCTTGTTCCCAAACAAGAAACTCTTTTTCTGCTGTACGCTGATCGCGTAGTGCTGCATTACGTTGTTTTAATGTTTGCTCATAGTGTGTTACCAAATCCATATAACTTAGATCTAGATAAGAGCAAAGCCAATTTAGGTAACGACGACGATGTTGCGGCTCTTCATGAAAAAAAAGATCGTCATCAGGACGATAGCCAAAAATCGGTATTTTAGCAGCCCAGAACCGACGTGATGATATAGTATCTCCATCCTCAATAAAAGCTATAGAACCTTTTTCCCAATGAATTTCTCGCTCAACTTTAGGATGTTTAAAACCACAAAAAATATGTCCTTTATCCGACATCCACGTCTGTAGCTTTGTCCAGGATTCATTACGAAACCCTCGCGACCGACAACTAAAATAAATAGCCTCTAAAAGATTCGTTTTTCCTGAACCATTTGGACCAATAATCGCGGTACAAGGGCTATTTAAAGTTAAGGAAAAAGGAGTACTATAGTTACGGAAGCCAACTAAATTAAGCGTTTCAAGACTGATAGATTGGCTTGTCCCATTATCATTATCTTGAAAACTGACACGATGAGTAGAGATCGTCTTAATTTTAGAGAGCCAAGATCAATAATTAAATACGCATTGGCATAATGACGTTTAAATAACTTTCATCATTTTCACCATAAATAAGTGTTGGCGAAACATCATCTATTAAACGAAGTTCAATTTTATCCGTTGTAATTTCCGAGAGACTCTCTTGAATATATTGTGCGTTGAAACCAATTTCTAAACGATCTCCATCATAGGTACAGTCAATCTGCTCTTCACCTTCTCCCATATCTGGATTATTAGCCATAATTGTCAAGATATTATTCTCAAATGCTAGGGTTACACATTTAAATCGATCTGTAACAACAAGACTAACACGATCAATAGCTTGCATAAATTCTTGACGATCAATAACAACGACACGGCTAGTTGATTCAGGAATAACTGTACGGTAGTTAGGGAAGCGACCATCAACGGTTCTAAAGACGAAAACTGTATCATCCCACTCGACTTGAACACTTGGTGTATCGATTGTAACTTGGACCTCTCCCTCACCATCACATATACGTTGGAGCTCTTGTAAAGCTTTGCGAGGAAAAATAATGCCATCTTCTGGAACAATACTACACCCTTCGATACCTTGAACTTCCACAAGACCTAAACGATGTGTATCTGTCGCAACAAAACGTAGGTTATTACCATCGTAAGCTTCAAGAAAAACACCAGCTAAAGAAACGCGACTTTCATCACTACTAGCAGCAAAAAGTGTCTTCTTAATCCAAAGACGAAACATATCGCGATCTAGCTTTAACGAAGTTTCAGGTTGTATTCGGGATGGTTCTGGAAAATCGACAGGATTCATCCCAACTAGTTTATAACGAGCTCTAACACCAGTTTTGACAACACCTTGATGATTATCGTCAATTTCAATACGAATAGAGTCACCTTTACTCTTTTTGACAATATCGTATAGAACTCTTGCGGGTAAAGCAGCACTACCAACTTGGTCAACTGTAGCTTCTAGACGCTGCTGTAGTCCAATATCATAATCTGTCGCGAAAAGATGAAGTTCGTTATTACTAGCATCTATACGAACATTCGCTAAAATTGGAGTGGCTGTTCGCTTTTGCGCAACATTTTGTATACCAAAGAGTGCTTGTTCAAATGTACTTCGTTTTACTTCAAAAGAACATCCCATATTTTAAATCCTATTTGTTAGTGCAATAGAAAATGTAATTTCAGGTTCGTGAACAGTTTATTATAATCTTCTTTCTTTATTTATTAAATTAATAGTAAAGAGTAATAAGAATAATAACTGTGGAAAAAAAATCAAATTTTCATTAACTTATTATTATCAATAAACTTTTTAAATATTCTTACTGTGTGAAACCTGGGGAAATAACGTTAGCTAAAAGTGTCTTTTTACACGGTTTCTTGGTAAGGTCATATTTAGGTTGTTATAAAATATTATTCCCTGTGGAAAGTATAATCAACTTTCCACGTTTTATCTACTGCGTGTTAACGTCCTTGAAAGGCCATCTATTAGACTAGAAAGTTCAGGGTCTTCTTGAATTAGTTGGTCTATTTTTCGAATACTATGTAGCACTGTTGTATGATCTTTTCCACCAAAGCGGTGCCCTATCTCTGGTAAACTTAAGCTTGTCAGTTCACGGCAGAGGTGCATTGCTATTTGTCTAGGTCTAGCAATATTTTTTTTGCGACTTTTGCCACGAAGGTCGCTAACACGAATATGATGTAGTTCTGCTACGACTTTCAATATTCGATCAACATTTACACCAGGGCCTGATATTTCAATTAGGTCACCTAGGACTTGTCTTGTAAAATCAAGATCTATCGTCTTTCCTTCAAAACTTGATTTAGCACTTAAGCGTGTTAACGCACCTTCAAGTTCACGTACATTGGAATGGATGTAGGTTGCTACAAAGGTAAGTATTTCTTCAGAAATATTAAGACCAAGACCACTAGCTTTCTTTTTAAGAATTGCAAGTCTATGTTCAAACTCTGGTGGTTGAATATCAGCAATAAGACCACATTCGAAGCGGCTACGAAGTCGCTCTTCTAAAGCGGGAATTTCTTTTGGTACAGAATCACTGGTTAAAACAATTTGTCTACCACGTTCATACAGCGTATTAAAAATATGAAAGAATTCGATTTGAGTTCGTTCTTTACCTGAAAGGAATTGTATATCATCTATAAGTAATAGATCACATTGGTTACGAAATCGGTGTCGAAGTTCATCTATACGCTCGAAGCGTATTGCATTTACAACTTCGTTCATAAACTGCTCTGAACTCATATACATAACACGTGTATTGTTATCTCTAGCATAAATTGAGTGCCCAACAGCATGTAGTAGATGTGTTTTGCCTAGTCCAACACCACCATAAATGAATAATGGGTTGTATTTGTAGCCAGGATGTTCACCTACGGCGAGGCTAGATGCATGTGAAAATTGGTTTGAGCTGCCTGGTACAAAAGATTCAAAGGTATATTTGACATTTAGATCAGGGTGAAAGGTTTGTGTCGTACGTTCTAAGGTAGGTTTTACTTCCTGTTCTTTTTTGACAGGTATTTTTCCTTTTTTTGTACGGAATTCAATTTTTATACCAATGTCTTCTTGTGCTCGTTCAAATAAGCCACGAAAATTATCATTAATCCATTGTTTAAAGAAGCGATTTGGAACTCCTGCTACTAAACAATGTTCGTTATGTTCTATGAGTTCTAAAGGTTGAATCCATAATTCAAACTCTTCTGGACCAATTGCAGAGCCAATATGGTCCAGAAAGTCATCCCATTGCTGTGGTCTAATCTGATCAGACAAGTTGTCTATCCTTATTATTTTTCCACAAGCTTTTCCACAGCTGTGGAAAAGCTTGATAAGCTCGAATTATTCTAGGTGGAAGGCCATGATAATCAAAAAATCGAGTGGCTTCAAGGCAGGAATTTTTTTGTGAAACGCGTGCAAGAAGTGTTACGATAGTAGGCAATTATAGGAAATTATAAAATAGTAGTATGGTGGAGATAACATAAATGGCTGGTCATAACAAGTGGAGCAAAATAAAGCATAAAAAAGCTAAAGAAGATGTAAAGCGTGGTAAAATTTTTACGCGTTTTGGCCGTGAAATTCAAGTTGCTGCTCGTGCTGGTGGACCAGATCCAAACTATAATGCGGCACTTAGAACAGCTGTTGAACGTGCGATGGCAGAAAATATGCCTAATGAGAACATTCAGCGTGCGATTAAACGCGGCGCAGGTCTACTTCCAGGTCAAGAAATAGAAGAAATTTCTTATGAGGGTTATGGTCCTAGTGGTGTTGCTGTTATTGTATCGTGTTTAACAGATAATAAGAATCGTACTGTCAGTGAAGTTAGGCATGCGTTTACGAAAGCTAGTGGTTCACTTGGGGAGAATGGTTCTGTTGCTTGGATGTTTAAGCGTATTGGTCTGATTCGTATCAGACATACCGCTACAGATGAAGAAACGATGATGGACGCCGCTATTGAATCAGGTGCTGGAGATGTTCGTTCTAGTGGCGAAGATGATATATGGGAATTCATTTGTGGTGATACAGAAATCAATACGGTGCGTGAGACATTGCTTGCAAATGGATTTGATATTGTTGACTCGCTTCTTGCCTTTGAGCCCGAAAATACCATTGAACTACAAGGTTCGGAGGCACAGAAAGTTCTGACGTTTATTGACACACTTGATCAATTAGATGATGTTCAGGATGTGTATGCAAATATTTCAATTTCAGACGAAGAGTTTGAGCGTCTTGCTGCTGCGATGTAGCTTGAGCTTGTAAGTAGTTTTAGACGTTGCGTGTTATTGGCATTGATCCTGGTTCTCGTAAGATAGGTATTGCCGTTCTTGAGGGCACTCAACAGCAGATGCGGGCTCTTGCTTATCAGACTATACGTTTTTCACAGCAACTGATGGTTGAGCGTTTAGAAAAGATTTATCAAACTATTTTAGATTGGACAGCGCGTTATCAACCTGATGCGGCTGCTCTTGAAGATGTTTTTGTGCGTAATAATCCCAAGACGGCTCTGGTTTTAGGCCAGGCACGTGGTGTGGCATTACTGGCACTTGGAAAAAGTGGTTTGAGCCCTGTTGGTTATGCGCCAGCAACTATTAAACGTGCTGTTGGTGGCCACGGTCGTGCAGGAAAGGAAGAGATGCGTACAATGGTACGTTTGCAGCTTGCTTTACCTAAAGAGCCCAGTGAAGATGCTGCAGATGCGCTTGCAATTGCGATGACGCATCTGTTGGAATACGATTTACGTCGTCAATTACAAGAGCAAGAGGTTATGTGGTGATAGGTTTTCTTATTGGAGAAGTCGTTTCTACTAGTTCAAATACTTTAACTGTTTTGACGACAAGTGGTGTTGGTTATGAAGCTCTTGTGACAACAAATGTCGCTTTAGAACATCCACTTGGATCTCAGATACGGTTGTGGATTCACAGTGCCATTCGTGAGCAAGGTTGGGATCTTTATGGTTTTTTACATAAAGAAGAACGAGATTTGTTTCGTGTGGTTCAGCGTGTTCCCAAGATAGGTGCTAAGACAGCATTATCGATGTTTGCAGTCTTTGATGCAGCTGTCCTGATACGTGTTGTTAGTGATGGTGATGTTCAGGCACTAAGTACAGTTCCAGGTATTGGTAAAAAGACGGCTCAGCGGATTATTGTTGAGCTGAAAGATATCTTGACGCAACTAGCAGGTGATATTACCCTGTCTGAGTCCGATGGTGGACGTGATGCTTATGAAGCTGTACAAGCGCTAATGGGTCTAGGTTACGCTGTCACCGAAGCGCAAAGTCGTGTTGCGATGGCTGTAGAGCAGGGCATTAATGCAGCGGATATTGAAGCTATTGTTCGCTATGCCTTGACACAAGAAGGAGCATCATCATAGACGATTTTAGTCACGAACCAGCAGATTTGTGGACGGCTGAAGAAGAGGCGTTTGAACGTGCCCATCGTCCAGAGTTACTATCAGATTTTGTTGGTCAGAAACAAATTTGTGCCAATTTAAAGGTCGCCATAACCGCAGCGCTTAAACGCGAGGAACCCCTAGATCATTTACTGCTATGTGGTCCGCCTGGGCTTGGTAAAACGACCTTAGCAGGCATTGTTGCTGCTGAGTTAGGTGTTGTTTTTGAAAAAACAAGTGGTCCAGTTTTAGAGCGCCCTAAAGATCTAGCTGCGATACTGGCGCGCCTAAGTCCAGGAACAGTTTTATTTATTGATGAAATCCATCGTATGGGTCCGGCTGTTGAAGAAGTCTTATACCCTGCTTTAGAAGATTTTGAAATTGATCTGGTTGTTGGTGAAGGTCCCGCGGCACGTAGTGTTAAATTACGTTTAAGCCCCTTTACGTTGATTGGTGCGACAACACGAACATCATTACTGACGCGCCCATTGCTTGATCGTTTTGGTTTGGTTGAACAATTTGATTATTATAGCGTTCCAGAATTGACCAATGTTCTCTTACGTTATGGTGACAAGCTAGGCACAGCACTTATGCCAGATACAGCAACCATTATTGCTGAGCGTTCTCGTGGTACACCTCGTGTTGGACTTGGCCATTTGCGGCGTGTGCGTGATTTCGCTGAGGTAAAAGGAGAACAGCCGATTACACCAGGTACAGCTGTCGAGGCTTTAAAATCGTTAGGTGTTGATAAGCTTGGTTTGCAGCGGCTGCACCGACGCTACTTAGAGAATCTTGTTAACCACTATCGTGGTGGACCCGTTGGGCTTGGTACTCTGGCGGCATCTTTAGGTGAAGATGCGCGTACCTTAGAGGAAGTAGTTGAGCCATATCTGATACGTTGTGGCCTTATTGATAGAACGCCTCGTGGTCGTGTGGCAACACAGGGTGCAATAGATCATCTTGGTGTCACGCTATAGATGATAAATGAATATCTTATTGGTATGTGATGGTGTAATTCCAGCAATACTCTATGGTGGAACAGAGAGGGTTGTTTGGTATTTAGGTAAAGAGCTTGTAACAGCAGGGCACAATGTTACTTTTTTAGTAAAAAAGGGTTCAGTCTGTGATTTTGCTAAAGTTTTGTATTTGGATAGAACTAAGACAGTTTCACAGCAAATTCCTGACGAAATCGACCTAATACACTTTCATTTTACGCCTTTGGATCTTGACCAAATCAGCAAGCCCTATGTGATAACTGTACATGGTAACTGTAATGATGATCGTTTTTTTGACAACAATACAATTTTTGTTTCAAAGAACCATGCCCATAGGTTTAATTCCAATTGTTATGTTTATAACGGTTTAGACTGGGCAGATTATCAGAAGCCAGATTTTTCTAAGTCTAGAGGTGATTTTCACTTTCTTGGTAAAGTAGCTTGGCGTGTTAAAAATATTCAAGGTGCTATAAATGTTATAAAACAAACAAAACAAGCGCGTCTTCATGTACTTGGCGGTACTCGGCTGAATTTTAAAATGGGGTTTAGGTTTACCTTAAGCCCACGTATTCGTTTTTATGGTATGGTGGGTGGTAAGCAGAAGTTTGAGCTGCTTGAGTGCTCTAATGGTTTGCTGTTTCCTGTGAGGTGGCACGAACCTTTTGGTTTAGCAATTATAGAAAGTTTATTCTATGGCTGTCCTATATTTGGAACACCATATGGCTCATTACCTGAGCTTGTTATTCAAGAGGTGGGTTTTTTGTCCAATAGAATAGGGCTACTAGTAGACGCTTTGGAGAATTGTCAGATTTATTCACATAAAATCTGCCACGATTATGCAATAGAGATGTTTAATTCAAAAAAGATGATGCAATCCTATCTTGAAAAATATCAACAAGTAATGCGTGGAGATGTTCTGAATAAAACCTTTCCGAGATTAAAAGACCAAACGAACCAAAAATTTTTAGACTGGAAACAATAAGTAATAAGTTTCAATTAAGATAATTTTTTGAGATGAATAGAGTCGTTATAAAGAGACTAGAAGATAATATATTTTGTTACTTGATGAGATGTTTTTCTAAGCATACGAAACAGTGAGGTGACTTTTGTGGACTTAGATTTATTGCGACAAGTTGGAGATACTTTTTCGTGGTTTTCAATTTGTTTAGTTTTGCTTGGAATTCTGCTCCTGCTTAGTTGGGTGATTAGAACGGGCCTTAGAATATTAAAATTGAATGCTTTATTACCAGAAGGTTACCGTAACCAAGTTGGTCGTCAAGCGTTTCGGTCTGCAGAGCGTGAAGAAAAACTAGGTCGTCTTTTTGAAGCAGCAACTTGGTATCTAAAGGCAGGTTTGCTAGATCAAGCAGCGAAGTTGTATGCAGAAGATGGAAAATTTGAGGAAGCGGCTAAGGCCCTGGATTCTATGGAGCAATTAGAAGAAATTGCTCAGCAGTATCGTCTTGCTGAGAGATGGGAAGAAGCAGGGCATCTTTATGAACAACTTGGAGATTACTATGAAGCCGCTACCTGTTTTGATCGGGGAGATCATTTATCTGCTGCTGCTACTGCTTGGGAATTGGCAGGAGAATCGGAGCTTGCAGGAGATCGATACCTAGCTGTCGGAAATTATAGAAATGCATTAGAGGCTTATAATGCTTTAGGTACTCGTAAAAAATATATTCGTGCATTACTCGACTGTTGGGAGTCTGAATCTTTAGGCCAAACAGAAGGGTCTGAATTGTTAGCTATTGACGACTCACATCTTAAACAGGTTCTTGAAGAAGCGAAAGAATTTTCTATGTGGGAAGAGACACTTAAGCTTGCACGTTATTTAGAGCAATGGTCGATAGCTGGAGAGGCTGCAGAAGCTTTAGGTTTTTCAGAAAATGCTAGAGATATGTGGCAAAAAGCTGGGGAAACTTATGAAAGTGATAGTGAATTTGGGTTGGCAGCGCAAGCGTATCGTAAAGCAGGTGTTTGGGTAGCTGCTGCTAGGGTTGCTCAGCAAGAAGGCCTTATAGGAGAGGCTATTACAGACCTGAAGCAACATTTAGATCAAATTGGTGCTGATCAAGAGGTTTCGCTTCAGCTTGTTGATTTGTTGATGTTTGATAGTAGAAGAACAGAGGCAATTGAGCAATTAGAGCCTTTGGTTGAGGGGCGGCCTATAGATAACCATACTGCAGATCTTATTTATAAATATGCATTGCTTTTAGAGGAAGAAGGCCAATCAGAAGGAGCTCTACAGGCTTATGAGCAGTTACTAACTTATCAGGACTCTTATCGGGATGTTAGATCTCGAAGTACATCTATACGCAATATACTACGCGAGGAAGCTATGGCAGTATCAGAAGCTATTGATGCTGTTTCTGAACAGGGAGAAACACTTCAAGTAGTTGATGAAACTACGACTTCTTCTTTAAAATCATCTTTTTTGTTTCAGGAAGGTCTAGAGTCAGAAAAGATTTTAGATCGCTATTTGGTTTTAGAGACGCTTTTTTAAGGACGAGAATTAGTTGTTTTAAAAGCAAAGGATGAAGAGTTAGATCGTATCGTAACGCTAAAGCTTTTAAAACTAGAAGTTACACCAAGACAATTGAGTGATTTATCTGCAGAGCTCCGTGGACTTACAGACCTTAGTCATCCTCATATTGCTCAGGTTTATCATTGTGGGTTGATGAGTGGTAATCTTTTAATCGTTATGGAGTATATAACGGGTTGGACCTTAGAAGAACTGCTTGCGCAAGAAGAAAAATTACCAATTAATGCAGCAGTGTTAATTTTAGGCCAATTAATAAAAGTATTGCGTTATGCCCATGAACAAGGGGTTCTTCATGGTAGTTTAAAATTAGATTGTATTGTATGGACAGAGGATAAAAACGTTAAGGTTCGTGATTTTGGTATAGCTCATGCGTTACAGAATGTGCTAAATAAGCCATATCTTGATTGGGATATACCGGAATATATGTCGCCAGAGCAACGCTTGCATCAAGGTTTTGATCATCGTTCAGATATTTATAGGCTTGGTGTTTGTTTTTATGAGTTAGTAACAGGAATATCTCCGTTTTCTGGTATTACATTTGAGGATAAAAGTTATTTACCACCACAAGACCCTAGGATTTTGCGTGCAGATTTACCTGAAGCTGTTGCTAAATTGATGTTAGATTTACTGATTCAAGATCCTGGTTGTCGTTTTCAGACGATATCAACGGTATTTGACTATCTACAAGACGCAATACAGAAACAGGGTGATGATTTTTCTGATGCTGTTCCGATTTAGCTTAAGACAGTTTTCTTGGTGCTTATATATTATTACAGTATGTAGTTTTGTTTTTACGGCTTGTTTTAGCCATGTTAATCTTTATCGTAAGTATCTTATTCCAAAACATTTGAAGACAATAGAGCCCTCAGTCACCGTTACTTGGTTAGGTACTGCGGGCGTTCTTATTTCAGATGGTGACAGCCAGCTTTTAATAGACCCTTTTGTTTCTCGTAAAGAAGCTGGTCTTTTTAATGTTGCTTTTGGGGCCAAGCTTAATCCAGATGCAGCTGCTGTTGCAGATTGGATTGATCGTCTTGGAGCAGAGGCTGTACAGGCTGTTATTGTTTCCCATTCCCACTATGATCATTCAATGGATGCACCTTTATTTGCTAAATATCTAGATACAGTTTTGATTGGTTCAGATAGTACAGCTAATATTGGTCGTGGCCTTGGTTTGCTAGATAAGCATTTACGTGTGCCGCAAGATAAAGAAACGCTTCAATTAGGGGCTTTTAAAGTTACGTTTCTTGAAAGTAGCCATGGTCCAGCTCTTTTTGGTCGTGTGCCTTATCCTGGACAGATTACAAAGCCTATTAGGCCGCCGGTATCTGCCTCTACTTATAAGGTAGGTAAGGTTTATTCGATTGTTTTGTTGAACACCCATTAGGCACTCTCTTACACCATGCGAGTGCTGCTTGGGTTCCAGATATGTTTGCTAATATTCAAGCAGATGTCGTGTTACTTGGATTAGCTGGCAGAAAAGATACGGAGAGTTATTTACAGGCGGTCGTTGATACTGTTGGTGCTAATCGTATTATCCCTATTCATTTTGACCATTTTTTTAAACCTTTAGAAGAACCTTTAAGGTATTTGCCGGGTGTTGGATTTAAAGAATTTATTCAAGTGACACAACATCGTTCGAAACCATTACAACTAGAAACACTTCCTATTGGTTTACCACGTATTGTCATGAAATGATTTATTTATGTTTTTTGTAACTTTTATGTCAATAATTGTTGTTATAGATCGAAAACGTTATAAATAATTAAAATTTAGTCGTAACGATGATTTGAGTTATAGATTAATATTACAAAAGACATCATCTTTCTTAAGATCAAGAATTACAGCTGTTAACAGCGATACGAGGGATTCTAGGTCTTCTAGGTCGATAACTTCACTTGGTGTATGCATATAACGGTTGGGTAAGCTGATAAGTGCTGAAGGGATACCGGTTGTTGCTTTATAAATAGCATCTGTATCGGTACCGGTATACCGGCTAGAAGCTTCGTGTTGTAAGGGAATGTTATTTGTCGTAGCTACAGCCATAATACGTTCTACAAGTCGCGGGTGGTTAGATGTTCCGTGGGTTATCGTTGGTCCTTTACCCATTTCTACCTTGCCATGCTTTGCTTGAGAAATACCAGGAATATCTGTGGCATGGGTGACATCTACAACTAGAGCCAGGTCAGGCTTGATTTGGCGTGTGGCGAGCTGTGCACCAACAAGGCCAATTTCTTCCTGAATGGTTGAAAGAGCGATAACATTTACCTCTAGTTTGTGACGTTTTTTGGCTAACCGCTGTAGCGTTTCTGCAGCACTATAAATACCGATGCGGTTGTCCGTTGCTCGTGACACAATACGCGTTTCTCCTAGCATTTCGAGGTTGTCAGCTATGGTAGCAATATTTCCGATGCGTACCTGTTTAGCTGCCTCTTCACCATTTTTAAAACCGCAATCAATAAAAAGTTCGTCGATCGTTGGTGGTTTACGTTCTCCTTTTTTATTTTGTAAATGGATAGGAATCGATCCGATGACACCATAGAGTTCTCCTTGGTCGGTTTGAATTTTTATACGTCGTCCTGACAAAATTGTAGGATCAATACCACCAATGGGAACTATACGTAATAAACCAGATGTTTCGATATGGTTAACCATCAGACCAATTTCGTCAGCATGTCCTGTAACAACAATTGTTGGAGCGTTATCTATAGGTGCTTTAAGTGTTGCCCAACAGTTGCCGTAGTAGTCTGTCTCAATCTGGTCGGCGATATCTTTGATGTGTTCTACCCAGGTCTGCTGTACTGCTGCTTCAAAACCACTGGGACCTCTTGCTGCGATCAACTGTTTTAAAAAGTTTAGAGAAGGCTTTGAAGGTAATGACACGGGGATAACCTTTCTGAAAGATGTTGAAGATTGTTTTTATAGTATAGACTAGACTCTCATTGAGTTTTAATAATAAAAGATTTCTAGAAGCAAGTATTTCAGGTTTTGTTGCGATTAGAAAAAATTAAATATAACAAATCTATAACCAATATTATTGATTCAAAATTAGTTATAGTTAAAAATAATTAATTGCAACAAAACCTATGTTTTTTGGATGTGGTTGTACATAGAGAGGGGTTTGTAAAAGTACTTTCCAAGACTCAGAAAGTTATCTTACAGAGTTAAACGTAATTGTAGGCTTTAGGAGTTAACCCAAAAAGATGCTTTGTCT